TACGAATTATCCTAATTAGGCACTTGACCCATCAACCTTATGATACTTCACCAACATTGGTAGTTACTGATCCAGGCAGCGTTTCGGTCAGCCCCGGCCCGTCTGTGACGGCTGGCTGGGAATCTGACCGAATCAGGCTTTGTCTGGATGCACGCAACCAATGCAGGGCCACAGCGGATGATCAGGAAATGACTTCGTGCTTGTCCTGTGCCAGCTTAAAGATTCCGGGTCAGTCGGTAATCCCCCTTGTTCTGAGCAGTTACAGTCTCGGGGCCGACACTTATCAATCTTCACGGCCAGGACCCGCCTTTTCATGGGGGAGTGATTTGCCAAGCTAATGCTTTCTAAGTGATTTTCTGTGCAAGTTCGTTACTCATCCAGGATTCCGGATGAAACATGTCATGGCCTCCCTCCAGATACAGCCTTAAGCGCCATAATCCGTTACATACCACCCCTCCCTCGTTATAACAGGGTTTCCCTGTAACAAATACCGTTCTCCGCTGAGTTGCGGGGGCGCAATTTCCGCGCTATGATCATGACCCAATAGGATGCACTTTGGCCCCCGAAGTCATGATAGTTCTCAACCTTATACACGAGTACAGGTGACAGCAAAAGGGGGTTGCCTGTACATGCAGAGTCACTGTTTGCACGAATGCTATGCCTCAATGACGTAGTGGAATTTTACAGTAAAGGTCGGACAAAACTAGTCATTGTGGTAGTCACAAGCCTCCGGATGCAACATCCCAGCAATCCGGACAGCTGTTAAAAATTGACCACTGTCTGGAAAATCTCCAGTCCTGACCCACATCTTGCTGGGGATTTCAACTTAAGGCACCTAAATGGGGAATATAGCAAATATATTGTTGCAGAAATAACACAGAGGCAGCTCTGATGAAAACTCACACTCACACGAGTTTTAAATCTGACAAAATTCAATTTAACAGCAAATAATAGAGCTACAAGACTGGAGAATACACTAGACTCTCTTCACTACAATTGATCTGATAGAAATGTCACCATATCAAAAACATATACTCAGATCACAACATTTGAGGTTCAGACATTATGTGGAGCCCAGACCGACAAGAGACTATATGAGGGACATTCACAAATTCAACTTCAATAACAAAACATAAAGGGGCAGTAAACCAAGTCCTAACCGATATAAGCTGGAAGATATATAAGAAACGACCAAACTATGCAGACAGATTACTCGGTGGCATCGATGTATGCACAGGTATTCTCAAGAAAAGGGAGTGTTAAAATAGAAAGGACAGCGCTCCCTTTACAGCGACGAAAAATACAGAGCGGCTAAAAGAGGTCATATATCTGAAATGCGCAGGGAGACCTGGTCAAGAATAGCAAGCATCGAATTAAGCTAAAAGACATTTTAGTAAAGGCCTCGGAACCTTAGCAGAAAACCAATAAGCCCAAATGACTTTCCCCTATTCCCAAATACTTTTCGAACCCCTCATCCCCCTAAAGGAATTGGGTTTAAACCATGATAAGCGGAAAAATGATCAATCCCAAAGACCAGTTTTGAAACCAGCTAACCCTGAAAGGTGACCCAACGACCAAAAATTTGAGAGCAGTTTAACACCTAACACCAATCAAACCTTGACAACAATTACATTAACAACTATACTGTGTCGGTGAGCAGTGCAAAACTGGGGGTTACCTTAAACTTTCAGATCAAATTTTTGCACAGACTGTTTAATCTAAATACATAGGAATTTATAAGAGTAAAATTAAACCATAAACATTCAAACCTCTAGCACACAATCCAAGCAGAAATAAACACCATACCCATAATTCAAACACTATAAAAACACCACTCCTAAAACCTCACTTTTACACATAACATTCCATTGCAGAAACACAGCTGACTTTCATCACCACCCTTAAACATATGTACAGCCAGTTTTAAAATAAAAAGATCCTAATTAAGGCTCTCACCACACAACTTTTAGTATTCACCAAAATTGATTTTACCTGGATTACGAGAGAGTTCGGGGGTCAAGCCTCCGCCCCTACCAGTCCCTGGTGGAATGCCCATCAAAACCAGGCTGTCTCATGAGGCTTCAAACGGACGCCCAGCCGACGATCGGGAATGACTTTAGGGCTTTCCAGTCACTTGAAGACTCCAAGGGCTGTTCGAATCCCCCTTGTAACGTGGGAGCAGTTAACATCCGAGGACCTGACACTTATGATGGCTTAGATTGCAGTGGAGCCCTGTTTTATGTGGGATGTCTCGTGCCAAGTCTTTTGTTTGTAGAATGATTTTGTTGCAAGTTCGGTCCTATCCTCTGGATTTTCCAGTATATAACAGTAACAGCCTTATTTCCAGGGACCAGTTGAAACCTCAAACCTCGCAAGTAATTGAAGGTGTTTATACTCCTTGCGGCGGAGTCGAAAGTTCTTAACATTTCAGGTGGCAATTTCACCCCAAATGGTCTTTGACGCAGCAATATCCAGCCTAGCAAATTGACCCCAACTAAGGTTGGGCCTCCAATACACATGAAAGGTTCTCATTACTCAGTCCAATTTTTCTTAGCAGCAGATACAATGTTATGGCCTTGAAGGTGAATCCTTCCGACATAAGTCCAGAATTTGACTTGTAGTTCCGCTTATTTTGGACGCAAATTTTTTGTACAGCTGATGAAATTGAATTCTCATCTTTACCCATGCGAGTCATTGAAATTTCCATCGTTAATTCAAATTTTTGCAGCCCATGAAAGACTTTTGTATGCGCGGAGTCATGAAAGAGGATGTCCATGCAAATTCGGGTCATCTGCCAACGAAAAGGGGATGAAGACAATCTTGAATCGGAATGAGAGAGGAACAATGAGCTTAGTACTTTGCCTGGTTAACAGAGCTGATCACCACCTCACTACTGTTCCACCAGGCTCTGTGTTTGTAGGAGCACTGTATGTCCACGACCGACTTTTCCTGTTATTCCTTTAGCGCGCATTTTGTGCGCTATTACGCCATGGTCACACTTGTCGAAGGCTTTTGCAAAGTCTGTATATATTACATCTGCATTCTTTTTTGTCTTCTAGTGCATTTAGGACCTTGTCGTAGTGATCCAGTAGTTGAGACAGACAGGAGCGACCTGTTTCTAAACCCATGTTGCCCTGGGTTGTGTAACTGATGGGTTTCTAGATGGGTGGTGATCTTGCTTCTTAGGACCCTTTCAAAGATTTTTTATGATATGGGATGTTTAGTGCTATTGGTCTGTAGTTCTTTGCTGTTGCTTTACTGCCCCCTTTGTGGAGTGGGGCTATGTCTGTTGCTTTTAGTAACTGAGGGACGACCCCCGTGTCCATGCTCCCTCTCCATAGGATGGAAAAGGCTCGTGATAGGGGCTTCTTGCAGTTCTTGATGAACACAGAGTTCCATGAGTCTGGCCCTGGGCAGAGTGCATGGGCATGTCATTTATCGCCTGTTCGAAGTCATTTGGCGTCAGGATAACACATCGGATAGGCTTGTGTTAATCAAATTTTGTGGCTCTCTCATAAAAAAATCATTTTGATCTTCGACTCTCAGTCTGGTTAGCGGCTTGCTAAAAACTGAGTCATATTGGGACTTGAGTAGCTCACTCATTTCCTTGCTGTCATCTGTGTAGGACCCATCTTGTTTAAGTAGGGGCCCAATACTGGACGTTGTTCTCGATTTTGATTTGGCATAGGAGAAGAAATACTTTGGGTTTCTTTCGATTTCATTTATGGCTTTTAGTCTCTTCCCGCGATTCCTGACTCCTAAAGGATTCTTTTAGCTTAATTCGATGCTTGCTATTTCTCTGACCAGTGTCTCCCTGCGCATTTCAGATAATTGACCTCTTTTAGCCGCTCTGTTATTCTTTTCCGTCGCCTGTAAAGGGGCGCCTGTCTCTTTCTATTTTACATCTACTCCTCCTTTTTCTTAGAGGAATAAGCCTTGTGCATACATCGAGTGCCACCGAGTTAATCTGTTCTAGGCATAAGTTTGGGTCTGTGTTGCTTAGTATATCTTCCCAGCTTATATCGGTTAGGACTTGGTTTACTTGGTCCCACTTTATGTTTTTGTTATTGAAGTTGAATTTGGTGAATGCTCCCTCGTGACTAGTCTCATTTTGTCGGTTTGGGGCTCCACGCATACATGTCTGAACCTCAATTATGTTGTGATCTGAGTATATGTGTTTTTGATATGGTGACATTTCTTATCAGATCATCATTGTTAGTGAAGATGAGGTCTAGTGTATCTCCAGTCTAGTAGGCTCTATTTTTGCTGGTTTAAATTGAATTTTGTGCAGAGATTTTAAAAACTCGTGTGAGTGTGATTTTCATCAAAGGGGCCTCCTGGTTTATTTCTCAAAATATTATTTGCTATATTTCTCCATTTTGGTCCTTTTAAATTTTCCCCCCCCAAGCGATGTTTCGGAGTGGAAAATTTTTTCCAGACAGGGGTTTTTTAAAGGGGAACTCAGGGCCCATTTTGGAAAAGGCTCAAGGGTTCTTGAGTTCGATGAAAAGATTCCATATTGCCTGGGCAATCATGGCATGTAATTATGCTGTTCAAAAATTTGGGGGTCACATAAAACATACATTGTTATCATTCTGTGCTCTCATAATTCTATAATCTCATCATATTGATTGGTGTATAACCTTCAAACTGGGAGGCCAAGCCCATCATGTACCTTGCAGGTCACTTGGTCCATCTTGGCTGGAATTTGTGCACTACAGAATTTGGTTTTTTAATTTGCATAGAAAGAAATTTCCGGACTTTCGATTAGGATTTTATTACACTTCATTCTGGTTCGCTTAAGGGTTTTTCCTGATCCCTAAAGTTGGATTTTACCGATTTCACGAACTAGGGGAATGACCCTTGCCCCAATTTATCTACTCCGTAGCTAAAGGACTTGCCGTCCTACCATTCCCCAAATTTAACGTTTTCTAGGCATTAGTGCCATAATAAGTTCGCCCCGTAATCGTTCAGCTGGTTACTGGTCCATAGTGTTTTACCAATAATCCTGGCATCTTCAACTGGACTCGGACTTATGTTCTTTAGAGTTCCAATCAGCCTGGACTGATTGTACGTGTTATTGCGTTTGCGGCACAGCATGCTTGATCATCATTCACGAGAGCTGGTATATCCGGTCTCTGGGGGCGTTCCATATTCGTTTAAGTAATAGTGCAGTTTTATCAGTCTGGTTTTATTGCTGCATAATTGATTGTATATTCATCATTTTAGTGCTTAATTGAATCCCCTCAGGGCAATGTTGGTGCAGGAGCTGAAGATTTTCAGAAGTGGATGATTTTCCAGACAGTGGTCAATTTTTAACAGCTGTTCCTGGAATTGCTGGGATGTTGCATCCGGAGGCTTGTAGACTACCACAATGACTAGGTTTTGGTTCTCGACCTTTACTGCTAAAACTTCCACTACGTCATTTGAGGCATTAAGCAGTAAATTTACAACTAAAACAGATATGAAACATTACATTCCTATACACATACATCGTAAAAAGTAAAAGTAATATATACCTCAATATAATATCAATTATTAATTTGACAATCATGAAATATAAATTTTTCAAAACAACCTTACATAACGGGAAGTTGACACTCAAAATGCAAGATAATACACCACATGCTACATATCGGTACAATACTAGGCTATGTACACATTTTAAAGAACCCAAGATTACAACATGAAAAAGTAATATCCAAATGGTCTATTTTTTTTTTATTTTATTTAAAACGTCATATAACAACATATTAAATATATAAAAATCCTCCTTCATTAAACAGGTATACAAAACATAATACATGAACATAATACACCTTATAAAGTATGCTGCATTATTATTATAATCAAAAAAGAAGCGCTAAGCCACAAGGACTATACAGCAAAGTATGCTGCAGCACATATCCGATATTTACACCTAAGCCAACTAGTATTTCCCTAAACCATACATGATGAAATATCATATAAAAGCATACAACAATACGTATAACATTATAAAAATTAAAGCCTTAAACATTTTTTTTTTTTATAATTTAAAAAATATACAATACATTAATAATCATGGGATTAATCATTACATTCTTTAAAGTATAATTACAATTGCCCTTATATCACTGAACGGTTATAAATATTGTCAGCCCTATTCATTATGTACCTACCCCAAGGTAACAAAGAATATAAAAATTCTTCGTTACCTTATTAAAAAACCCTCTTAAAAACATTTAAAAAAAGTAAAATTCATCAATAATATGCCTTGTTTTTGATTTTTTGTCAAAAAAACCTTTGAAAAGACATAATACTAAACAAGTGATAATAAAAAAATATCCAAAAACGAAGTATGTAATGAAACGGTACTCAAAATTTACTTGACAACTGCAAAGATACAAAAATATTCAGTACATTACACAAAGGGGTTTTCCACTTAATAGCATGAGATAATTCTGAATTGCCAAACAAGTAACATTATGCAACATACACACACCACATTCTTATCACATATACACACACACATGAGAGATTATGTACACATAATACAAAATTGTTACCCTCTATCTGATCACATTCCAAACATATATCCCAGGAGACCCCAAGCAGAACGTTACCAGGTATCATCCACATGGCTGATACAAGGAAAATATAAAATGAAAACTATATATATAGTTGCTCAAGGTGCTTTTACATAACACCTGACATGCAGTTCATGAGTTTGCTTCACAAGATACCACTCTCTTAATCACGTCAATTTAAGAACAAAAATTAGTTTCCAAGCAATAGTATTTTATATTTGTTTGAATAAAAAATCATCCAAACAAAACGATCATACCAAATCATTTATACTTTAAAACCCGCACCCATACCAATCGTATGCCACCTTCACTCACACATATTCAAGAAGCCAGCCTCGTGTACCCTTTAAGGTATTAACTCCCTAAATCCCTGACCTTGAATCTGCAATATCCTTTGAAAATAAGAAAAAAACCATCTATTTCCGTAATGTCTTTATTTCTCTGTTGTGTACCATAAAATATCGCTACCAGTGCTCTGATTCTCTCCTCACAGATAAATGCCTATATACCCATGACGAAATATACAAAATCCGTCACAAAATATCCGATTGCATTCTTACCGGTGTTTCGACCCCCCCACATCTAAAAAAACTTAAAGCTCTTTAAAACACTAAAAAACCCCCCCCCACCCACCTTTTTTAACACCTTACCAAACCAAACCTTAATGTTCCAATCTCTTACAGAAATAAACTGCATGAAAGACCGTAAACAGGATCTCCACACACACAACACAGCCCCCCTCCTGCACGCGCCTATTCGCTAAAACTTCCCGGACGGCAGTATATTATGTAAAAATTTAAACATTATCTCCCTGACCTTGGCTCGTAACCTTAATGCTTTTTTAAAAGACCCCATATGTCCTTCCATGCATACATTGGATATATTCCCTCCACCTTAGCCACACCTCCCTGCCCTCTACCAGTGCCAATTTGCCGATCTGATTTGTGTGGGATCTTTTACATAAATTAACATCCTCAAAATGTCCTCACATCTCCTTTACATCCGTTCCGGTCAACCAACGTACCAAGTCCCGTCTTATCCAGGTCAAACCCCGTGCCGGCATTCTACCCTCTCTCAAGTAGCTATGCTTGACTACATGCCTAACATCCTATTATGCAGATTCATTAGCCCCGCCACCCGGCCAACCGGGAGCGACACCACATCCCTCGTTTAAACCCAAACACAACCTGAACCCCAAATTATCTATATACACGCGTTAACATACGCTTTTCATCATATGGATGAAAAAGAAAATACATGCCACATGCCCCAACTTACTGAACAAAATCACAATTCACCACAATTGCGCGCTGATGTATAGACAAGCCCCCTTCCTCAAAACCCGTTAAACGACCTAAAAACCCCCTCTACAGCCTCACTTGAATTCATTCCTGCATCCTGTATGTTATCCCCATGCACAATCCCACACACCTTAATTTATTTACAAAGGCCAGCCTTCCCCCTGGCCAATACCCACCCGCAAATCCCCCACCTCCATAAGCATTGATTTTTCCCTTTTTAACCGTCATTCCCTTGCTTTCCCGAAACATTCCCCAAACCCCCCTTTTTTT